TCTCATTTTAAATTCTAACCGTTGATTTTCGTCCATCAAGTGTTATAATTTATTGGATCAAAATTATTAATTAATTATTAATAAATTTGGCCTATTAATAACCGTTGATGAACGAAAATCAACAGTTAAGATCTAAAATAATATAAACTTATATCTTTTAAAAGGATAGATATTTTTCCTATTTATTTATTTACTTTACAAAAAGTTGAAAGTTTGAATAACACTTTTCGTTCTTATGCGTTTTCGGTCAATAGTGAAATAATATGGCCGAATGCCCCCCCGCATATTTATCGAGGGAATGCATACTCTCTCGTTAGCTCTTGTGCTTTTGTTTCGTTTTCAACGTTTGGACATCTTTTCTATCTGGCATGCAATAAAAATACCCTTTTTCTAAAGCGTGAAAATTTGGTTAAAAATGAAAAATATGTTTTTAAAACAAAATTAAATTAATAGTTCTCATTTCATGTTATTTTTAATCGTTAATTTAATTTTGATTTAATAATAAGGGTAATAATTATTAAAGATCAATAAATGAAATTATAAATATAATCTTCCTCATATTATATTATATTATATAGGTTACCAGTTTTATACTTTTAGTTATATAATTGTGATTTGAATACTATTTTAGATTTATAAATAATACTATTTTAGATTTATAAATATTATTTTTATAACTAAATTAGAAATAAAATTTTACGATTTGTCCCACAATTTAATATCTTACTCTTCAATTTTGACAATCTTCTGAAAATCGAGATTTTAGGATAAATTTTTTTTTTCCCTCTAGCAAACACCCTCTAAATATTCAGGCTATCTCAGTTAATCTTACCATAATCTCCACTACGCCAAGGTGTGAAACTAGTCTTCTCACTGGAGCCGTTTGGTACACGGATTTTTTTCGGATTCTCGGAAAACTGAATTTTTTAAAATTTTAAATTTTCAGATATTATCGTAAACTGAATATAAAAATTATATTTTTAAAAATTGAGATTTTCAGACAAATAAAAATTTGTCATGTACCAAACGCCCGAAAATTAAGAAATGTCCAATATCAAAGCTGTAGCTTTTAATTAAATAACGGGTTTATAATAGATTAAGAAAGAATCTCGATCGTGCCTTGAACAATGTGCTTTTGTCACAGTGGGAGAGAGTAACAAATATGTAAACTTTTTATTCTTTAAATAAAATATGTTATGGAAATTTTTTTGCCTATACATAGATAAAAAATTTCAATTTTTTGTTTTCTTGGTATATAATTTTCAGTACGCTTATAGCGTTAAATTAAAAACACTTGAGTCGCTTAAATGCATTTATTTAACCTATTTCATCTTTGACTCACCCAAATGCATTTATTTCATCTTCTTCATTATTGACTCACCTAAATATATTTATTCCATCCAGTTCATATTCTTACTGCCACTTGCCACTTGCCACCGAATCCATGTTTCTAATTTAAGCTGCTGCGGTATGTATATAGTTACATAGTATATGAATACTGAAAACAAATCTCCAAAACTACTACTAATAATAATAACAATGAAAACTTAAGTGTAGTATTAAGTTGTAGGGTAGCCACTACAGCAATAAATTAAAGTGGGTGAATTTTATTTTTATCTACTCATCAGGTCACATGACAAAAGACAAAGTTGAAGCATATAATAAGGGCAAAAATATTAATAGACAATTTTAAAACCCTGTAGGATCATGTGCTCCCATTGGACCGGCGACCAACTACAACAAAAATGGAATGTAAGGGCTTTGGCTCTGCTTGGGTTGGGAAAATTTTTTTTGAAAAATTTTAGTATGCACTAAAAGTAAATAATAATTTTTTTAGATATCTCTCAATATCAATTTTGGAAGGAAAGCACAGTGAAGAGTTTTATTAATCTCATGTTAAAAGAGATAAGTTATCCCATGCCATAGAGATAAACTTGTAGGCTCCACCACCTGAAAAATAAAAAGAAAAGAAAAGAAAAAAGTGACACAGTTATCGAAGGGTGTGTAGGAGAAAAATTTATCACATTTGACATAAGAGTAGTTTTTTCCTATAGTCAATTAGAATTCTTTTGTTAAAATTTCAATTGGTGTCAAAGAACTGAGCATGTATGAGTGAAAGTTTTCTTCAGTATTATCTTTAAAAAGATTTTAAAGCCTTAATTTCTGGATCCGCCCCAAATCAAACTAATTACAAAGTCATGAACTTATCGAAATATCTCAAAAAAAAAAAATTATTTCACAAAAATGTGCTAATATTGTTATTAACTCTTGTATTGATGAGTTGTATTCATCATTTTTACCTATCCAATAATGATTTGAATTTTAGTAAATTTTGACTGAATTATGTCAAAAATATTACTCATTTTAAAATTGATTTTTTATATTTAACTAGTATAAGGATATTTTACTATTTTTTCTTAACCAAAAAAAAAAAAAAAAACCACAAAGACTTGTTACTTCAGGGAAGTTGGAGGTGTATCGTAACATCCAAACAACTCAAGGTGCATCCATGGCAAAAGTCTATTTTTTTTTTTATTGTTCCATCTTATAACTAAATTGACAATTGAAAAAAACACAAAACCGATTAATAAGTATATTTTATGAAAAATATTTTATTCATCGTAAAAAAGAAAGAAATGAAAGTTCGAGTAAAATTATTGGACGATAATATGTCGATAAATATCAGAAAATTAACTTATCAAAATATTGTGTGATATTAATTATTCAAAGAACTTTTATATATTTTAAAAAGAATTTTTTTTCTGTTTTTACTATAAATTTTTTTACTGCCACATTAAAAATAATAAGTTTTATTAATTTTTTTCCTGTTATAATGAAACACATATTTTTATGTGAATATCACGGAAAAAAATTTAGCAGAAAATATTTTTTAAAGATTATTATAAATAATATAATAATTGAAAAAATAAACTATATTTATAACTTATTTTTTTTATAACCTCTTAAAACTATTTTTCCATATATTAGATCAAAATTAAATTAACGGTATTAAAATAGAGATAAACAATTATCACGTTGCATAATTATCACGTTGCAACAACAAAAAACTTTTTCCAACTAACTCAAAAATATATATGGGTATGAGTATGACTAACAAATTTTTCTCTCACCTCAATTGTTTCAGTTGAAAAAAACTGCTTCCTTCCTCAACCATGACAATCATTTATCCACATAAAATAATGGGAAAAATATTTCTGCAAGCTATTGCAGATAAGTTATCTGCATTTATTTTCAAAATAACTTCGTTTTAGTATTGAAATCTTAAAAAATTATAAATATAATGACTATTATAACTTTAAAATAAATTAAAATTATAAAAACACTATGATTTTCGCCTCAAAACGATATCGTATTGAGTTTGGCAGAAAAAAATGAACTCTAAAATAATATTAAGTGAGAGATTTTGATTTAATTTTGATCTAATAATTATAAAAAAAATTATAAGAAATTGAAGAGATAATAGTTTATAAATATAGGGAAAAATATTTGTCATCTTAAAAGATAGGTTCACTTTTTCTACGATAGATGTCGATAAAGAAAAAAGGTGGCACAGTTATGAAGGGTGTGTAGGAGAGAAAACTTATGTCATGTGACATAAGAATAGTTTTTCCCTATTTTAAATGAGATAAAGACATAATCTAGTATTTTTTTATTTAAAAGTTAAATTTAAAAAAAAATCACTCACTTTTTCTTCTATTTATTAATTATGTATTTCTCTCACTTAAAATGATATAAATTTATATACTTTAAACAATGAGAGATGTTATACATACTATTTATTTTTCTTATTATTTTTTACTACTAAATCTTAACCGTTGATTCTCGTCAATCTAATGGTTATAATTTATTAAAAATTAATAATTAATTAATAAGTATGACCCAATAAATTATAACTGTTAGATTGACAGAAATCAACGGTTGAGATTTAGTAATAAAAAAAAGTAGTAACTATAACCTTTCCCTTAAACAATAAATACTAAATCCATAAATATAACCCGATAATTTTATTCATTACCACATACCAAAAATTGAAACCGATGAGGCGATGACCCACGGAAGTATGAAACCAAAGTCAGGGTGGCGAAGGGTGAGAATTGAAGAACAGTTGGCGGTTTCTTCACAAAGTAAAGTGGCGCTTATGACTTCCATACGAAGACCATGGAAAGTGATTGATGGTGTCTGAACCTGAACACTAAAACAAAAAAAGTAACTATCCTTAAAATCTAAATTTAATGGGAGTAGATATGTTAATTAATATGATTATGTCACGTGAGACAACCATAATCATATATAAATGGAATGAAGGTGATAACAGAGAAGAAGAAAAATATAAGGATAAAAAGTTACACAATCACCATATTAATTGGGTGATAACCTACACATTTCATTTCCAAATTCAACGCAGATCCCGTTTTTTTCACTTAGTTTCTCAAAAAAGTGGCCAAAGTGTCACTGTTGGATAAAAAAAATACCAAAATGTCACGTCAACGGTAAATTTTGTCAAAACGTTACGTGGCATATTTCGCTACATTGTATAGCGAAATATGTGTGCAAATAATTTGCTTCACGGTGTAGCGAAATATGCCGCGTCAGAACTGAAAATAACACGTGTCAGACAGGTAGAATTTCACTACACAGTGTAGCAAAATTCTACCTGTCTGACACATGTCATTTTCAGTTCTGACGCGGCATATTTCGCTACACCGTGTAGCGAATTATTTGCACACATATTTCGCTACTCAGTGTAACGAAATATGTCACGTGCATTTTGAAAAAATTTACTATTCACGTTACATTTTAGTGTTTCTTTTTTGCCAATAGTGGCGCTTTGGCCACGGTTCCTAGTTTCTCACTCTATTGTTTTTTTAAAAAAAAAACCATTCCTTAAAAGGTTTCTCATTCTCTTTCCCTCCAACAAGCAAATTACTAATCATACCAACTCTTCTCTGTTTCATTTTCTTCTCGTCTATTTTTTGTTCCATTCTGAAAGGTTCCTTCTGAAAAACTAAGGAAAGGTACAAAAGACCAAGATGTGGTTTGTGATGTTAAGCTGCAACCTTGTATGTGTGTTCATCTTTGTGTTTCTGGCTTTGAATTGCTTTCTAGATTTTGGATCCAACGCTCAACTCATACCCCAAGATGAAGGTATGGTTTCATTTTTATTTTTATTTTGTTTACGATTTTTTTTTTGGATTCAGAACACTGAAGTGAAACTACCCTTTACGGTTACAGCTAGTTTACAAAGGTGCAAACTTTCTCACTTGTACCATGGATTGACATAGAGACAGGGAAATTTTGATGTTGAAATATAATCCAGTATAATCTTTTTCTTAAGGGGCAAGTGAGATTTTCATTAAGCATGAAAAGTTTTTTGGTGTTATCCTTTGTTCTGTTTGTGTTAAGTAAGGGTTTGTTGATTGTTGAATGTTCTTTGTTTTCATTTCCAGAATTTAATTCATTGCTACTTTTGCTATCTGGGTTTTGGTTGTTGTTACCATATAAATAAGGAATTCGCCAACTCCATGTTATTATTTTCCTTGACTCTTCCCATTAACATCTGATCGTAGTTTAGTGGTGGAGGTTCTGCATCTAACTTGCTCAAAATTAGTTCTGTTTGTGTTTGCTTGTTTTTGTTTTTGCTTTTTTTTGTTTTGTTTTGTTAATCTCTGAATTCATCTGTTAGCATTATTGGATTACTGGATTCTGTGTCCTATGGCTTTTTTATTTTCCGGGATCATTTTATATTTGGATTTTTTTTAAATTTTATTGTCGGTGATCCAATAAAATTATGACAATTATTTGATTGTCATCCCACTCGAGAGGAGAAAAATTTAGTGTATCAGAATTATCAAATTCGGTAATTCCTCGAAGGAAAAAAAAAAGCTAAAAGGTGAAAAGATAAAAAAAAAAAAAAAAAATTCCCTTTTTTTCTTACGAGAGGGACCCATTAGTGTTTGCTTTTGTGTGTTTGATATTTATTTTATCGATAAGACCTTTGTTTGCGTCATTCAGCTGACACGATATTTATAATCCATGATTGAGTTATCTACAAGATATTTTAAAATCGTGGATCAAATTATAAGCTTGAGAATTGTTTAAAAAAAGTGAGAAGAAATTCGTGGCATAATGGGTCATCTGGAGTACGTCATTCTTAGGAATAGATCCTGCAGATTGAGTTGTTTTTTATTCCTTAGCATAATAATGCCATGCTTATTATAGAAAACTAAGAGGATTTGAATATGTTGTTATATTTAATGAAATGGCTGATAGCCAATATATACACAAGTCGGTTATACAGAATCAAGGAGGATCAACTAGAATAAAGTATATTGTTCAACAAACTATACATGGAATAATAACAAACTATTCTTGCTAAAAACTAGGACTTAGTTGCTAAAGGATAAGATCAAAGGTGATCTTCTCCTAACACGCCCCCTCAAGTTGGAGCATGAAGTGACGAAATGCCCAACTTGCTGCGAAGAAAACTGAATTGCTTCATGCCAAGCGGTTTGGTAAATATGTCTGCGAGTTGCTGATCTGTACGAACGTAGGTAGTAGTGATTGTATTGCTGAGAACATGATCGCGTACAAAATGACAATCAATCTCTATATGTTTGGTACGTTCGTGGAAAACTGGATTAGCAGCTATTTGCATGGCAGATTGGTTATCACAGTGCAACTGCGTAGGGTGTGAATGTGGAACATCAAGCGAGTCCAGAAACGATTTGATCCATAACAACTCAGCTGTAGCTGCTGCCATTGAACGATACTCAGCTTCAGCGGAGGAGCGAGACACTGTGGGTTGCTTCTTTGTTTTCCAAGAGATAGGAGAAGTACCCAACATGATAAAATAACCAGTAACTGATCGACGGGTGAGTGGACAGCTAGCCCAATCCGAATCAGAATATCCACGAAGAAGGAGATCATTGTCGGATCGAAGGAGTAAACCTTGGCCAGGATCAGTTTTGATGTACCTTAAAACGCGGATGACAACATCATATTGAGCAATAGTAGGATTTTGCATGAACTGGGAAAGAACATGGACGGAGTAACTTAACTCAGGTCTAGTAATTGTCAAGTAAACCAAACGTCCTATGAGTCTTCTGTAACGTGCGGGATCCGAGAATGGAGGACTTTCTGTAACTGCAAGCTTATGATTTGTTTCGAGAGGGAAGGCACATGGTTTGCACGCAAGGAGACCAGCGTCTTCCAATATGTCGAGAGCGTACTTTCGTTGGCTCAGAAAAAGACCTGATGGACCGTGAGCTATTTCGATGCCAAGAAAATATTTAAGAATCCCCAAATCCTTGATGTGAAAGCATGACTGGAGAAAGACCTTGACATCGGTGCATAAGGCATCATTGTCGCCCGTTAGAATAATGTCATCAACGTAGATGAGAAGAGCAACAAAGTGGCCATCTTTGTGTAAGGTGAATAGGGTGTAATCTGCCTTGGATTGGATGAAGCCATATGATTCAATGGAAGACCGCAACTTAGCAAACCAATTGCGAGGGGACTGCCGCAAACCGTAGAGAGATTTACGTAAGCGACATACTTGATGTGGTTTGTGATGATTGAAACCTTGTGGAACGCGCATGTAAACTTCTTCGGTAAGGTCTCCGTGTAGAAAGACATTCGTAACATCCAACTGGTATAGGTGCCGTGATTTGGTAGCAGCTACCGCAAGAAGTGTTCGGACACTCACCATTTTGGCTACAGGAGCATATGTATCGAAGTATTCTTCTCCAGCTATTTGATTGTTACCGGCAATGACCAACCGTGCTTTGAATCTCTCCACTGTACCATTTGAGTTGTACTTAATGCGGTATACCCACTTGCATGGAATGGCACGTTTTCCTGGTGGCAAAGAAGTGAGTTCCCACGTGTGATTTTGTTCAAGGGCATCTATTTCTTTTCGCATTGCTACACGCCACCTTTCATCAGTTACAGCATCCTTGAATGTTTTTGGTTCAACACCAGAAGAAATGGCAGCAAGGAATTGTTGATGTTTGGGAGAGAATCTAGAACAAGAAACAAAGTTAGCAATAGGATAAGCCATACCTGAGGAAGGACTGGAAGAAGTAGAAGAAGCTAGTGGATTATGTGCGATGACTTTGGAGCATTCGAAATCTTGGAGATATGATGGAGGACGGCGAGAACGGTGACCACGTCCCAAAGGTGCAGATGGATGTGTGACTTCTGGGGGTTGTTCTTGTCGGATAGAAAGCTCATTGGAGACAGTAGGGGCAGATTCGGGCTGAGCCTGTTCAACAGGGAGAGTGTCTTCAATTAAAGGGACAGGGTTGGTAACAACTTGGGAATCAAAGGATGGGCTTTGTGGAGCAAGGGTTGGTTCGGGTGATATGGGGTTATGGGGGTTTGGGTCGTGAGGAATATCAGCGGTAGGAATGACTGTAGTTGGTGCAAAAGGAAAGGTGTTCTCTTCAAATACCACGTCTTTGGATACAAAAACAGTATGTGTTTCAAGGTTATAAAGCCTCCAACCCTTTTTGCCAAAAGGATATCCCAGGAACAAACACCGAGTTGATCGAGCTGCAAACTCTTCCAACGGTTTGGGACGTGGATGAGCATGGCAAAGACATCCGAATATGCGAATATGATCATAGCTGGGTGTGCGGTTGAAAAGACATTCATATGGTGTTTTTCCTTGGAGAAGAGGAGTGGGGGTTCTATTGATTAAATGTACCGCAGTTAGAACACATTCACCCCAAAACTCGATAGGAAGACTAGCTTGAAAGCGTAATGCTCTTGCAACATTCAAAATATGTCTATGTTTCCGTTCAACACGACCATTCTGCTGTGGTGTGTCTACACATGATGTTTGATGTATAATTCCCATATCGGAATAAACCTTGCGGAGATTATGAGCACAAAATTCTGATCCATTGTCGGAGCGTATTATTTTGACCATGGTATTAAACTGATTACGTACCATGAGAAGAAATCGAGTTAAGTATTGGAACGTTTCAGACTTGGTGGTCATTAAATAAACCCAGACGTTTCTGCTATAATCATCCACAATTGTTAAAAAATATCTTGCACCGGTTAGAGAGGTAGTTTGATATGGACCCCAGATATCGCAGTGAATAAGATCAAAGCATGCAGTAGTTTTATTAATGCTAATAGGGAATACAGTACGAGTTTGTTGTGCGCGTAGGCAAATGTCACAAACTGAAGGAGAATGACCCCTATTTTTATTCACTGTAACAAAAGGAAGAAAGCTTAAAAACTGAAATGAAGGGTGACCCAATCGACGGTGCCAAACATCTGCATTCTGTTGAGTGTGAGCCGCACATGCAGTAGAGATGGATTTGTTGTTGGATGAGTCATGCACATAAACACCAGCTTGCAATCTACCCAGTCCAGTCTTGATCCTCGTAATGGGGTCCTGCAATTCACAGCCATTGTGAGTAAAAGAAATGATGCAATTTGTATCAGCAAGTAATTGAGCAACTGATATGAGGTTGCATTGTAATTTGGGAACATATAACACATTCTGAAGAGAAATATGAGATGTCAACTTGAGACTGCCACTGTGATTGGAAACAAGTTGATCACCATCAGGTAAACCTATCGTAGTGGGTGGAATAGATGTAACATTGGAGGTTAAATGGAGGTTCCCTGTCATGTGTTGAGAAGCGCCACTATCCACCAACCAGGTAGAAGGCAGAGTGTGCTTACCAGAAAGGGATGTAGTGTTAGCAGACGGTGTAAGGGTAGGGTTGGTTGCATTGGCATTAGCATTGACATTGACAGCGGAAGAATCTGAATCAGAATCAGCCATTGGGAAAGTGGATCGATACCTTCAAACTGATACCATATAGAAAACTAAGAGGATTTGAATATGTTGTTATATTTAATGAAATGGCTGATAGCCAATATATACACAAGTCGGTTATACAGAATCAAGGAGGATCAACTAGAATAAAGTATACTGTTCAACAAACTATACATGGAATAATAACAAACTATTCTTGCTAAAAACTAGGACTTAGTTGCTAAAGGATAAGATCAAAGGTGATCTTCTCCTAACACTTATCAATAGTACATTACGTGTTGTGTTTTCTGTCATACTTTTCACATACAATGTACTATATATTAATGGATTTAGTATTTTTCATATAGTTTTTTTTTTGTTATATATACATAAAAATATTTTTGTCTCATTTTTTTTCCTCTTTTCTTCAACTTTATATGGTTTCATATATTTTTATAGGGTTTTCGTTTTATCCTTTAACATAACATAACAAACTTTCCTACCCTCACAACATTTTGTGGGGCCCACACTTTTTAAAACAAAAAAATAAATAAAAAATTAAGGCACGCAAAACGAATCTCTATAACATTACACAATCACTTTTCCTACAACATAACTCTTATAAAACCTATTTTTATATGGGTAAAAAATTTATCCGGTCAATGAAGATAAGTTATTTCCGGTGAGCCCAAAACGACGTCGTTTTGGAACATAAATCAAGATATTTTTGTAAATATAATATATTGCATGGTTATATTAGTTTTTATCATTAAATTTTTTAATCTTATAACTTCAAAACGACGTCGTTTTGAGTTTAGTGAGGATAAATTTATTTTCGGTGACTGAAAAAGTACTTTTTCCTTTTTATATACATGTAAGAGATAATTTTATTTTCTATATATTTTATTTTCTATATATAAAAAACATCAAACCCTATATTTATACCCCATAGAGTTAAATAATATGATTTTTTCAGCCTGAGGTTTAATTTATCCTTATTATGGTTTTCAGTGATGCTCCTGTTTTGTGTATAGGTTGGTTCTTATGATGATGATATATAGTAATCTAATCGGACTAGAATGCTGTGTGGGTTTATGAGAAGCCTTGAGAATATGAACTTTGTTGAATTAATGTTCTTTGTTCTCACTTCCATAATTTAGTTTATGAACTTTCATTGCTACTTTTGCTATCTGGGTTTTGATTGTTGTTACCATATCAATAAGGAATTCACCAATATCCATGTTTTTCTTTTCCTTGGCTCTTCCCATTAACATCTGATCGTAGTTTAGTGGTGGAGGTTCTGCATCTAACATGCTCAAAATTCGTTCTGTTTGTGTTTGTTTGTTTTTGTGTGTTTTTTTTTTTTAATCTCTGGATTCATCTGTTAGCATTATTGGATTACTAGATTCTGTGTCCTATGACTTTTTTATTTTCTAGGATCATTTTATATTTGGATTTTTTAAATTTTATCGTCATTTTGTTGAACCAATTAAATTACGATAATTGTCTGATTGCCATCCCATGAGAGGTGGCCTCATTTGTAAGCACAAGGGGGAGCCATTTTTGTTTGCTTTTGTGTGTTTGATATATTTATTTGAGATATGTTATATTTACAAATTCAAAGTTTACAAACTCTTATAAACTATATTATGTATTATTAGTAGTACATATTATTACATATATATTACCATAACACATAGGATAATTGTAACAGTTTGTAAACTTTGAGTTCGTAAATATAATCATTCTCTATCTATTTTATCAATAAGACCCTTGTTTGCAATGCATCATGCACCTAACACGATATTTATAATTTATGGTTGAATTATGTACAAGATATTTTAAAATAGTGGATCAAATTTGTACCGTTAGGTTCTGTGAGCCCACTATGTACCCTATAGGGTAACGTTACTATATGGATTATACCACTAGGCGAGGTAATGACCAGACTAGTAGGTATAGTTCCAAGAGGCAAGCAAGCTAATAGCAATGGCAGATTAATAACAAGAGAATGACTTGGAAGTAAATGGGCATAACAACAGTACATCAAAGATACCTCTAAGGTGTGCCTAGGAGGGCTATTTATAAGGGAAATGGAGCGGGTTGGTGAGGGAGAGGTCAACTCTCCTTGGGATTTACTCCCATGGTGCAGTGTTAGGCGTGCTGGCGCTATCATTGTGGCAGTGCTGCGCCCTCTGCACTCTGGCGGTGTCAGCGCCGGGCAAAGGGGGAGTTTCCCTTTGTGGTTTCTGTCGTAGTCGCCTTCAACGGTTAGCGTTCCAAGATGGGACATGTTGGTGTATGCCTTGGGCCTGCTGCTACGTTGGGGGTTGAGGAGGTCCATGTCAGCCCTAAGGGCTGATGTGGGGCAAAGCTGAGGCTGGGCTTGAGTGATTGGGCCAGCTGAGGGTTGGGCCTGTGTAATTGGGCCGCCCCAGTATTCCGGCCCTCCAGAACAAAATTATAAGCTTGAAAATTGGTAAAAAAAATAAAATAAATTAGAGCGAATTTGTGACATAATGGTTCATGGAACTGCATCATTCTTAGGAATAGATCCTCGAGAGTTAGTAATTTTTTATTCCTTAGCATAATAATGGCATACTTTTCAATGTACATGACGTGTTGTGTTGTCTGGCATAATTTTCATATACAATCTACTATATATTTATACCCACATAAAGTTAAACCATATGATTTTTTCAGCCTGGGGTTTAATTTAATTTATTTATTGTTGTTCTCAGTGATGCTTCTGTTTTCTATATTGGTTGATTCTTATGATGATATATAGTAGTAATCTAATAGGACTGGAATGCTGTGTGGGTTTATATGAGAAGCCTTGAGAATATGAACTTTTGATTATTATATAGAAAAAAAAAAGTCTATATCATGAAAAGTTCAATTTCTTCTTTTATTATATTGCCTACCTTGTGTGACTTGTAGCCTTGTATTTTTTTTTTAAAAAAAATACAGCATGGTTTTCATTTAATGAGGCTTTTGACCTTGAGTGTTTCAAAATATGCGCTAATTAAAACTTTTGACCACCAGACTTTTCTAAAGCATGTGATTGTTGAAATATGAATATGTTAACATCTAGAATTTGCCAACATTGACATTGTCGAATTTTATATAGTTTAGAACTACATTTAAAAATATATATTAAATTAGTCTAATATTTTTTTAATTATTTAAATAAAATTTATGAAATACTTTTTGAGTTTTTAAGTCATAATAATTTTTTGTTTCAAATAATTATAAAGATGTTAGAAAGATTTGTTACGGGGATATGAGATTTTCTCTTAGATTTATGATAAATCATGTCATGTGATGCACTTTCACGTTGATCTGTATTCCATGAAATCAGATCAATTGTGGTTTTTTTTTTTTTTCTTAAATCTTGAGAGGGAGAGTTTTACCATTTTCAGAATTTTATTCGACTCAACTGAATTAGTTGATTAATTGATAAATCGAGGAGAAATAAAAAAAAAATAAAAAAATTACATATATCTAATAGCCACTTGATTTGTCTTGTGTTGCAGTGAAAGTACTACAAACAATATCAGACAAGGTAAAGAACTTGAACTGGAGAGTTACTGAACGTTCATGCAGTGGAGATAGAGGATTCGATAACAGGAATATTTTAGATAATCAAATCAATAGAAATGTCACGTGCGATTGTTCTTTCAACTCTAGCACCATTTGCCATGTGACTTTAATGTAAGTTTATTTTCAACCCCTCAATAATATATATATATATATATATATATATATATATTCACTGTAATTGATACCAATAGCTTTTAGAGTTGAGAAAATAACAAAAAATTGATTATTTTAATACATACGATTGATTTGTAAAAGATTTTTGATTTTTTTAATAAATCTCTAAAATAAAATAAAATAAAATAGCTGTGCAACATTCAAAATTACGCCTATGTGGACAATGTCACCCTCAGTGACTTGACTTTAACTCAAATTTATTAAATTCTTTTGAGTATTACTAATTCAACAAATTGGCTATGATAGTGCGCTCAGGGGTCTCAGTATATCTGGAGTTATACCTGATGAATTTGGAAATCTCACTCATCTAATAACACTGTAAGTGATTACAATTTTCTTTTTCTTTTTCTTTTCTTGTTGTATGTTCGTAAATGTTGTCATTGTGCTAGAAGATGTTGATTATAGATTTAACTAAGTACGGAATTGTTGTAGTCACAAATGAAGGAGTTACTATGCTCTACCCTTATGGGTATCGCAATTAAGGTGAGATATTAAACATGTATAGACAACTAATTTCATAATAAATGTTTCAAAGTTGGTTAGATATAACTCAACCAATAAAATAAGGGTTTTTTGTTTATTATATTATAGGAGAGAAATTTATATTTTACATATACATACATAAAAGTACATGGAGCTCATATTTTTTTCTCTCTTTTTCTCTTCTCCTTACATGGGTGGGACCCACACACTTTTATACGTGTATAAGAGATAAATTTATTGTCTATAACATGAGAAACATGAAACTCATAAAATAATTAGTATAGAACTTAGGGAAAAAAAATATGTACAGTACAGTAATGCCCCACCACCACTGCATGCAATTGAACAAATATGAATGGTGAACAGTGATGGCTTGTGATTACAATATTTGTAGTATTACTTTAACATTGGTATGTATTCTAACTAATGAAGCATTATTAACTTCATCAAATGCAAAAGAATCTGCGGAAAAATAAAATAAAAATTGCTAACTGAAACTTTTATACTGAGCAGTGATCTCACTAGGAATTACCTCAATGGCTCAATTCCAAAGAGTCTTGGACGACTCTCGCTTGTCACTCTGTAAGTAATTGTTACCTCTTGTATATATATATATATATATATGTTCTTTTCTTGCTCTATGTACGAAGCATGCTCTTCATTTATTAACTACGAACCTTTTAGAGCAATTTTTTTTTTTTAAAATCAATTTTGGCTAAGTGGTTTGCATGATTTTCCCTGTACACATATTTCAAATCCTCAACGTATACAATTGTTACCATGGTTCAGGTCACTTTTGGGAAATCAACTTAGTGGTCCAATTCCATCAGAAATTGGTGATATTGCTAGTCTGCAAGAACTGTAAGTATTGAGAAAAATATCATGTCATGTCACATTGATTGGCATTGTAGGTTGAAAAAATATATTTGTAATCCATGTTTTTAGGAACTTAGAAGATAATCAACTTGAAGGACCTCTTCCTCTCAGCCTTGGAAAATTGAGCAACTTGCAGAGATTGTAAGATTGTTTTTCTTTGTAGTCATTTTATTTTAATGTACATAATCAATTAATCACTAGTTTTTCTGTATTGATGCATAAATTATCTACAATTTCATATTGCTTTGACCATACATAGTTAACATTTTTTTGTTTTTTTATTCTAAATGAATCTGCAGACTTCTTTCTGCAAATAATTTCACAGGGACAATACCAGAAGAATTTGGTAATCTAAAGAATCTTGCTCAATTGTGAGTCATATGATGTGATACAACTTTTTTTCCTGAGGATTTATATAATGACTGTCAAATTCTGAAATCTCCCAACATTTTCCACAGTAGGATAGATGGGAGCAGTTTATCTGGGAAGATACCCAATTTTATTGTGAACTGGACCAAACTTGAAAGATTGTGAGTCTAATTTTTGGTTTATCCATGACCTTTTCCTTGTTGAAGAATAAAACAATTTTATATCATACTTAGCTTTTGCATTTATTATCTGAGAAAACATTGTTTCTTGTAGGGATTTGCAGGGCACATCCTTGGAAGGTCCAATTCCTCCTGCTGTATCTAGCTTGAAAAATTTGAAAGAATTGTGAGTACTTTCTCCTTTTAAGAATATTCCTGAATTGTTGCAAGTTCTAGAATGCAATCTTCAACAGAGGAACATTTTCTTTTCATTTGATGAAACATTTATTTATCAGGAGAATATCTGATTTGAAGGGACCAACTATGACATTTCCTGATCTGAAGGATTTGAAACGCATGGAAAGACTGTGAGTTGAAACCTTTCCTGCTATTATGTGAAGAGCTATATAATAATTCATTTAGGCTTTTATCAAGTGGTTTATTTTTTTAACTCAGGGCATTGAGGAATTGCTTAATCACTGGACCTATTCCAGGCAACATTGGGGAAATGCAAGGTTTAAAAATGCTGTAAGTTGCATCAAGGGTATATTACTGGCTATATATGCTCCAAATTTCTTTTTATCTACCTGTTTATCAATATACATATAAGGTTTTCTCATTATATATATAATTTAAATTTAAATTTTCATATATATGTAGTAAAAGAGAGAGATGTGAGTCTCCTAGATGTGTTTTTTTTTTTTTTTTATCTAGCCCTTATTTATTTCACAATTGCACACACATACAGTTGCGCAGTACCTTTTCTCCCTCCTTTTCTTTTCTATCCCCGGTTGTTTTAAAGGGTTTATTCTTCACTAGATTAAGTTTGTGATTATGGAATTACTTAATTATAAAGATTAGTTATTAATTTGAATCCCAATGATTTTTCAAGACTTAATTTTAGATTTGCCTATTGGTAATTTAAGGTGTAACAATTTGGAAAGCTATTTATCAAATCATTACAAACCGGTATAAGTTTGCCTATTGGTCATTTAAGGTGTTTTGCTGGCTAGTTGTACCTGTACAATGACCCTATACAGAATAATGATGCGGATATAAATTTTTTGTATGCATCATCTATGTAAATTATTATCTGCAATATTGTGCTTCAACATGGGCAGTAAAAAAGAAATTTACAAAATTATTGAAAATTTGAAATTGTCTCTCATTATATTCTATTGTGAGGATTTCAATATGTCATGTACCATAACTTCATCTTCTTTTTCTTTCAGAGATTTGAGCTTCAACAGGTTGACTGGTCCAATCCCAGATTCATTTCAAGGGTTGCAATCAACAATAAATTTCATGTAAGTGAACACTTTCATTTGTTGGCCAGAAGATTAACCAAAAGGATGTGAATTTTCCTACTAGTAATTTGATCTCAAGAATGTTAGGTGTGTTTTTTTAATTTTTTTTATCATTTTGGATATAAATGAGACATATATTAATGATGGATGCAGGTTTCTGACTAACAATTCACTGAGTGGACAAATTCCAGGATGGATACTAAACAGCAAACAGAACATGTCAGCATATTTCCTTGAATTTTACCCTCCTCTAATTCCATACTTTAGATTCACTTGTTGAGATTTAGATGTTGCACAAGTACATCACATGTCTTTCTCGTGATTAATCTTTTGAGCACTTGAATTATCAAGATATTAAAATTTAATCTCACTTTATGTTCTCTTTCAGTGATTTATCTTACAACAATTTTACACAATCTACAGCATCTGATTGCCAGCTCTTGGATGTGTAAGCTTCTTTTTTAGCTAGAAATTACAAAAGTGTTCACTTACATGAACTTAGCTTTGTATTATTCTTTAACAGGAACTTAGTTTCCAGTCACTCTCCCTCAGCAAGCACTTCGTAAGTTCTTGCTTATGTTCTAGTTTAATTCTAGATCAGCTTTGAATCACCTACTGAAACCAAATTTATTTATCTTGCAGAGTTTCTTGTTTGAAGATGAACCTACCTTGCTCAGAAAAACCCCAGTGTGAGTGTTTAGAAATAGTAGATCAACCATGTTTTCATAAACTTCAGTGATTTTGTAAATGAAAATTTATCATAGTTTCTTTTTGAAGTAATGTGATGAGACAATTTTTGGTATTATTTCTTTTTCTGCTTTTTTGTTAAGCTTATTTGCTTTTCTTAATAAATTATTCATTTTTTTCTATGTCTCTTCAGATCATTCACTGTTCGTAAATTGTGGAGGACCTGCAGTTGAGTTTGAGGGCGATGAATATGAAGCTGACCAGAATTTACTTGGAATTTCAGACTTTGTTTCTAGTAATAATGGCCAATGGGCTTATAGCAGCACTGGAGTATTTGAAGGAAATGGCAATGTTAGTCATTTAGCAACAAATCAGTTTCCTTTGAATATTAGTGGCCCTGGATACTTGCAAACAGCCCGCACTGCCCCTCTTTCTCTTAATTACTATGGACTTTGTATGCTGAAGGGAAATTACAATGTGAAGCTTCATTTTGCTGAGATAATGTTTTCTAATGACCAGACTTTTAGTAGCCTTGGAAGGCGCATATTTGATGTTTCAATCCAAGTGAGTAATGAAGCTAACAATTTGTTACATTTATTTTTTTAGTTTCTTATAAAGTTTTACTAAAATTTGTATCTGGTTTTTTAATAAAACAAAAGCTCTAAAGGTAGATATTTTCAATGCTGGATATTGACAGGGTTTTAAATATTTGAAAGATTTTAACATTGTGAAAGAAGCTGGTGGAGCTGGTAAGGAAAAAATTCTGGATTTTAATGTTGACGTGAATGATAGCACCTTGGAGATCCACTTATCCTGGGCAGGGAAAGGAACTAATGCCATTCCTGTGAGAGGTGTATATGGACCTCTTATATCTGCTATCACCGTGACCCCAAGTACGTGGTTTTCTTATTATTAATTTCCTCTATTTCTATCAAATACCTTGTTATTTCATGTTCTATAAGCATTTTTACTTTGTTGTAGACTTTAAAATTCCTTCAAAGGGACTGTCTACTGGAGCCATTGTTGGAATTGTTGTTGCATCATGCGTGCTTGTCCTACTAATACTCTTTTCCCTTTGGAAGATGGGTTTCCTAGGAGGGAAAAATTCAACAGACAAAGGTAAGATTAAGGTCCAAAATAAATCAGGTAGTTGTTGCACTTATGATTTGGTTTTTGCTGATACAAAGTTCAGATTGGTTAGTGTAAAGCAGGATGAATATAAATCTAATTATAATCTATAATATAGTAATAGATATAGACTTTTATGTATACACTAATATTAGATTATTTTAAGACAAAATTTACTGCAAATGTTCAAAATGGTGGTATAAACAGAAAATGCAGACTTAGTTTCTCAGATGCTATTATTCTCTCTTTCCATGTCTCTCATTTCTCTTTTTGTTTTTACTTTTTACCTACCTTGTTGCAGAACTTCTAGAGCTGAAAACGGGCTATTTCAGTTTAAGACAAATTAAAGCTGCTACCAATAACTTTGACCCAGAAAATAAGATAGGTGAAGGAGGCTTTGGGCCAGTATACAAGGTAACTTCGATTATTATAAAGTTTTAAAACATTGAGGGTAAGTCATTTGTCCCCGATACTTTTGTATATGAAAACATGATAATGAATTTATTGCCTATTCACAGGGTGTACTGTCAGATGGTGTTGTGATTGCTGTCAAGCAGCTCTCCTCCAAATCAAAACAAGGAAATCGTGAATTCGTTAATGAAATAGGCATGATATCTGCTTTGCAACATCCAAATCTTGTGAAGCTTTATGGCTGTTGCATTGAAGGAAACCAGTTGCTGCTAATATATGAATACATGGAGAACAATAGTCTTGCTCGTGCACTTTTTGGTAAATGTGTCATGAACAACTTGTGGTTGTGTTGTATGTTCTCTACTAAGTTAAAATCTAATTGAAAAAACTCATCTCGTATAGGTAAACAAGATCAAAGGATGCATTTGGACTGGCCCACAAGAATGAAAATATGTGTAGGGATAGCAAAGGGATTAGCTTATCTTCATGAGGAATCAAGGTTGAAAATAGTACATAGGGATATTAAGGCAACCAATGTCTTACTTGATAAGCATCTGAATGCCAAGATCTCAGATTTTGGTTTAGCCAAGCTTGATGAAGAAGAGAATACACATATCAGCACTCGAATAGCTGGGACAATGTTAGTATTATGGCATAACATTTTAAGTTAGAATCCTAGACGTTGTTCATCATTTTAGTTGGCTTGCACTGTTATCCACAATTTGTTTATTGCTTGTAGCTATAGTCATTTGAATAATCCTAGAAATATATATGCTTCATTTTGTTTTGTTAAATCATTTACACAAGGGTACTAAATGTTCTCTTTTCAGTGGTTACATGGCTCCTGAGTATGCTATGCGGGGTTACTTGACTGACAAAGCAGATGTCTATAGCTTCGGAGTTGTAGCTTTAGAGATTGTTAGTGGAAAAAGCAACACAAATTACAGGCCAAAGGAGGAGTTTGTTTATCTTCTAGATTGGGTAAGTTACACTTGTGTGGCTTTTTCAGTTTTTGACAAAGCATAATCTCAACTTACCTTGTTATCGTGACACATTTACTGAGCTCAATCTTTTCAAAAGTCAAAATATTTTTGTCATCTATATCCAAGTCTTCATCCCATTTATCTCCGACAATAATAAAACATTTTTGAAATCATATATAGTATGTGGATTATTAAATCAAAGGAACGGTGGTAAAGCTGCTCCTTTGTGATTGAAAGGTCACGAGTTCAAATTCGGAAATAGTCTCTTTACAAATATGCAAGGGCAATGTTGCGTACAAGGATTGATCTGACCCTTATCCTTATTAGTTGGGGTTTCATGTGGAGTGATTTTTAAATAAAAGAAGACATTACTATTACTATACTTCCCTTATCTATTTTTGTGCTTTCCTTTCTTGTTTCTCATTATAGTTATGGTTTGGTTGAATTTCTAACACTATATTTTGCATGCAATTGAAGGCTTATGTTCTCCAAGAGCAAGGAAACCTTTTGGAATTAGTGGATCCAAGTCTTGATTCAGGCTACCCCCAAGAAGAGGCCATGAGAATGCTGCAGTTGGCACTCTTGTGCACCAATCCATCTCCCACTCTAAGACCACCCATGTCATCTGTAGTAAGCATGCTTGAAGGAAAAACTCCAATTCAAGCACCAATAATCAAACGCAGTGACAATACACAAGATGCAAGATTTAAAGCCTTTGAGATGCTATCACAAGACAGCCAAACTCTTGTTTCTTCTGTATCCACACAAGATAGCATAGAGCAAAGAAGTAAATCAGTCAATGGGCCATGGGTTGACTCCTCCATATCTCTTCCAAGTGGAGAACATTATTCTTCATCCGATAATCTTCTTCGAGGTTCAAATGAGGTGTAATTTGTAATTTAGGGAGGTGAACTCAAGTTAGCTTCAAATCCTTTTGCTAAGGATATTAACAATAACAATTCAACATAATAATAGTATACGTGTAAAAATATGGAGTGTGGAAGTCAAGCATTAGGTTTCAATGTGTACAGAAGAATTTGCATTGCTATGTATTGAGGTTTAAAGGTTTTTCATGTATTAATCTTAAGATGATGGTATTGAATTTCAGTTTTAAAAGCTTTTTTAGGCATTAAATGATATCCATGGTGATGGCAAGGCTATATCAACACAAAACAGTAAGAAATAAGTTTTTGGGTGGACATTGTTGATAAGAATTGGATGATAAAAAGGCGTAGAGATGGGATCACATCCTTAAAATTGGTTATCGAATTGCAAAAAAGATTAAGAAAAAGTAAAAAGAAGAAAAAAAAGGAAGAAAAAATTATGTAAAAAAGATAACATTTAACGCCTTAGGTGAAAGAAGCGAACATAATAGATATGATACTTACAATCTTTCTTTTTAGCATACATTTGGTTTAAGAAGCAATAGAAGCATCCTATCACTTTCAAGATGAAGTATAAACCTCTCAAATAGAGCATGGGAAGGTATCCTTAGAAGAAATTTGAGAACATAAGTGCGTGCGAAGCTTATGTCGGAAGAAATGGCTAAGGGTCCAGACTCCAGAGTACAGTGATTGCAAAACAAGAGCACTTAGGCCGAATAATAAATCATAGTGGAAAAAATAGAATGATGAAGTATTTTATCTTTGTATAATTGCAGAAAACTATAGTATAAATTAGTTAAAAAATATGCGTTGAGCCAGACGAAAGGCAAAATTTTGGGGGCATATAACAAATTAACAATATAAATTAGACCTTATAAAACATCCTAAAATAATGGTCGTTTTTCATTGGGCGATTTTGATTAACCTTGGTCCAGAATGAAGATAGGATCAATCCACAACTCTTTTCGGGTTTTTTTCTTTCTTTCTTTTTGAGCGGTTCATTGCACAACTCGTTTGTTTAAAAAATTATTCAACTCATTTAGTTCAATCATATAAAACACAGTCCAAGTCACTTTCAATCAAGGAAATAATCATGGAGCCCCTTTCATCAGTATTCTTTCAAACGACCAATCCATAAGTCACGTAATTTATATTTATTGTCATGATATGTTAACTGTCAGGACCTCAACCAACAGTGCCTACGATCCCAATGACACGTTGAAGTTAAATCCACAGGTTACTTGTAGCTTTTATATTATCTCTGGTAACTATTAACTGGTTATCTTTTTAAGTCAGATTTAGATGCTGAGCACTGCGAGAGACTGGTGAAGATAAGTGAGCTTGACACCAAAGTCCATGGCTAATTCTCCCCTTCATGGCTAAAATTGCTAGAGAAGTTGATTATACAATGGTAAGATCGTTCATTGTAACCTTTAGAATATGAACATTAATGCTAATATAAGGGAAAATAACAATTAAAACTACTTCACAACTCAATTTTAATCCCAATTCATAAGTTAGGCCTGCAAAATAATTGGAAGTTCAAGTACACAGGCTCCAAAATGATTTGGGCCAAGCCATTGAAATTGAGAAGCTAATATACTACCAAGACAAGATTTTCTATTCACATAAAGACTGTACGCTTTGTTGTAAGGAGCTCTTTTTTTTCTTCTTTTTTTTCCAGCTAGTAAACCAAACCTATGTACACTTCCCATACAAAATATAGAACAAATGGTGCCAAACACTTGAAAGCTATCAAAACTCAATGCCACTATTTATCTGAATGGAGAAGGAAGGGCGCCCAACATTGGAGAGGGGGGTATCAACTCTGAGAACAAGACCCGAGTTCCCAACGTTTCCATTCCACTTTGATCTGCCAATCTGAACACACAAGACAAAAAAAGTGAGACAAGAAACCACTTAGATTATCATGCATAAGCACTCTCCTTTCAACTATTATCTTTGGAAATGACTGGTGCTAATAAAAGTTCATAATGGTAATAAAACATGAAATAACGAATACTGATAAATATTCCTGTGACACATATTCTGAGACTCCCATTTGGTGTATGAAACTAAAAAAAATAATAACTTAAAAAGGTCAAGTATTGCTAAATTTTTTACATATTGTACTCACGTTGATTGCCTTTGTACTTTTTTTTTTTTTGGTTATTAAGCGACCAGTATGTTTTGACTTCCTACCTTTCTTAGGCTTACAAATATAGAAATTAGCAGGTACACGTTACTAGAGAGTGACAATTCCACCTAAGGACAATGAATATCTAAGCTTACGTCATTTGCCTTCAGGGTTATTTGTATTTAAAGTTATGCTATCTTTTTTTTTTTTTTTGGTACATAGGTCATGCTATCTTTAGCTTGTCCAAAACACCACCAACATAAACTCGATAATATTTGTTATCTTAATTTCAATACATGTACCAAAATGATCCTAACAGTGACAAAATTTACACTTGGAGAAAAATAAATTTCACATTGATTATTACTTAAAACTCAACCATATATACGTTTATGTATGTACATGTACATAATAGTGTTTGCGCTCATCTGTGTACCTGAATTGACAAATTTCTACATTTTAGGTTTATTTGATAAATTTTTCCCTTTTTTTTTTGTAAAGACCCCAAGGTGTCCTTACACCCTTTGAGTGCGGAACTAATCCGCACTTATAGACATTGGCTTGGCCCTAATCACAAGGTAATTCCAGTGGATTTCCCATGGAGCTCAGTTTGCCAACGAAGCCACACCTTGTGGTTCTCTAACCGATAACAGTATCCCCCCCCCCCCCCTCCCTCTTTTTTTTCTCTCTTTTCTCCCCCATCAACCCGTTTTATCAATTGATAACAGTAATTTTGTGCTTAATGAACAATAATATTAAGACAGTAGTAATTTATAACATTCTGGTTCCTTATTCTATCAGGAACATATATTTACAACCTTAGGTATTTTCCAAAATAAGTCTTTCCATAATTCAAGAACATGCTATGCTCATTCGAAAAAAACTTACAGATACTGAAGCAAACGCAGAAGGATAAGTCATGAAAGCACATCCACAAATTAGACTAAGTTTCTCTTTAACTGAATGAATGAGTTCAGCTCGCAACCCTGGATTGCTTCCACCAAGAGTAGGACACACACTGTCCATACATAGAACATCAAAAAAGATCAAGGTGAGTGAATGAAATTGAAAATACAAATTAACAACAAAATTAACAATAAGTACACCAAAAGATTAGTTAAACTTACATAAGATGCACAGGAATATTTAGACAGTTGGTGCATGTTTGGATTTGCATAGTTTATAAGGACAAAATAAGCTAACCCAACACACACTTGGTGATTATATTATAATATTAGAAACAAATAGTTTTGCAAGCACAGGCAAAACAGATATAACAAAAACATATTCGTATTCAGTAAACTAGAAGTTACATTACACATCCAAATTTCACAGTTGGAAAGTACATCTCAAATTAAAGAATAGAGAATAGCAGGTCACGTCGTCCAATGCTTCCTGAACCAGGCTTAAAATCAAGAAAAGGCAACTTCAAAAGCTTCTTCTTTTTTTCTTCTTTTTTTGGCTCATGAATGAAAACATCACACTACTTATTTTTGGGGGGAAGCGAGCCATGCTTTCAGAAGTGTACTGTACTTGACAGGAACACGATGCTTGAATTTTTCAGCAAAGAATTTTTTCCACATGTAGAGGAGACAATACAGGCTGTGGCTTCTCTACAGAACTTTCATCATCTGATTTGCAATGTGACTAAAGCACAATTTTTTTAGCACAATTTGAGCTTATCTATTCTTTTCTTAGGTTCTTTGGTCTGCTTTAAGTGGGTTCCATGTCCTTTAGTTTTGGATGCATAAGTTCTTAGATTAAAGTACTTTATTTTTGTTGAGATATATAGTCCCACATTGGTTGTATGTGCAACTAATGTGGAGTTTATAAGGTCTTGGGCACTCCCACCCTTTGAGCTAGCTTTTGGGGTGGTGTATCCCAAGGTTCTTTACATGGTATCAGAGCCTCGCCGCCCCCCACTTTCTCTTGTGGCGTTTCTTAGCACAGGTAGGCTGGGCCTGTTGCATTGTCCACTCTTCAAGTCCAATGGGCTCTCGTGTGAGGGGGCGTGTTGAGATATATAGTCCCACATTGGTTGTATGTGCAACTAATGTGGAGTTTATAAGGTCTTAGGCACTCCCACCCTTTGAGCTAGCTTTTAGGGTGGTGTATCCCAAGGTTCTTTACAATTTTAAAAAAAATCCTATCTTTAAGGCCCGCTTATTTGAGCTTTATTTTAACCAAAAAGGTATTTTTTCAATTAAGAAATTTGTTTAAAATTTTATGAAAAAGATAAATTTTTCCAAAAATTACAAAAACCTCAGAAAAAGCTACTTTAGTGAATTTCTTAAAAGCTAAAAATAGTATCTTCTAAGAAAAAGCTATATCATAGAAGTGTTTTTTCAGAAAGCTAATCCTAACACAGATGTATTTTTTAGCGTGGAAAAGTTAATTCATAATGTCCAAGCAGGTAGGCCAGCAAGCAATCATCACATCCGGACAAAATCAGCCATGTGAAACAACATATGCATAACAACTATTTTCTCCCCTATGGTGTTATAAAACCACCTGTGACCCCTATAATAATCACACCACCACCACCACCCCTACTCCCCCCCACCCCCATCCTTCCCTTTTCGAAAAAAAAAAAGGCATAAGAAAAGAATTGTAACATGTTACCTGAATTGAATGGTTGGCCTCACAATGAGACCAGATCTCTTCCAGGCCAAGGCTTGAGCAAGACCCAAAGAAAATGATTTCTCAGGCCATTGTACCATTGGTGTGATTCTTGTTCCCCACTTGTTCTGAGAAAACGGAAGAGTAGCACATATTAGTTCCAATGCAAGAGGAAATCAGTTCAATATCACTAAAATTCTGCACCTGCCTAACTTTTTGTAAAATTCAAACATTATTTCGATAACACCTTCAACAACTTGGATTCTAACCTTGCATGAAAAGCTGAATCTCATTTCCCCTGGATATTGACCCTGAGCTTGAAGAAGACCTCCACAAACAGGAAGGAAAGCACTGGTAGTTAGACCCTCGCCAGATACGTAGGTTAGTTGCCCATTAGGAAATTGAAGATCCACAAATGACTGGGTGCACAAAGAGAAAAAAGAAAGATGATGATAGGAAATTCATTCCAGGATGGCTAAACTAGTAGACAAATCATAATTCTTACAGGCTTATGCCAAGAGATTCCTTGTATACAATAGTAGGAACTAGTGTTTTCAGAGTTATCATAACTATCAACTTACACAAGCTAAGGGATTCAAGCAAAGCATTGACATCAACAGCCACCTTCTGTGTTTTGACCACACTGCTGGACAAAGAGAATGCATTCCATTCTGACAATAAAAAATAATCAAGTAAGATATATTTAAAAAAAAAAAAAAGTTGGGTTGGGGTGGGGGCCGCAACATGGTCATCATCCACATGCAATACTACATAGAAAATGGAGACTAAATAAGCAATTCTAAAAATAATTACATAATTTTATCGAGTACAAGAAAGAGTAATTTTGACAGGAAAACAAAGTCAGACAAAGTACTATTACTATAAATGGCTGCTACCTTAACAAAACATAGAATTTACTAAAATATTCAAGATGAATACCCCCTACTCATAGGTATCATTTCAAATTAGCACACTTCGCAATAGATTTTCAATATCAAAATGCATATAATACAGGATACAGTAATAAGACTTTTTTTATTAGGACAGCTTGAAAAAGATTTTGCCAACAAGAAGCCAGTACAATGCCCACACAGGCTATTTTAGGATAAAACACAATGTCCACACAGAGGCCTGCCTATTCCCCTTCCCATATATTACCAATTTTATAGCAAAGTCCAATATAGGCAGGTGAACCTATCTTTACCTTTCTATCATAGCCATACCATAGCAAGTGTTGCTTTGACAGATGAACAGGCAAAAGGAGAGTTGAATCACGGATAAAGAGGAGAGGTCCAAGTTGAACCAGGAAAAGAGATGAATTTTCACTCCCAGATGTAGAACCACCATGTGATGCCTCTACTCTCCACAAATCTCCCCTTGCAACTACAGAACCTTCCACCTCTTGAGTTCTACTATCATAAGTTGACGTAAAATTTATTATTCCCTGCACGTGATAAAATATAAACATGAAATGAAATAGAAAGATAAAGGAAGGATACAAGAGAGTGAGAAAAGAGAATTTGGGCATACAAAATACAGATTACAGAGCTTGCACATTTTCTAATATACATTTAAAAATAAATTTTGAATATAAGAAATTCAACTGCCAACCCCAACTAGTTTGGAAGGTGATGTTGATGTTTGAATATACGAAATCATTCCTAAAATCCTAATTAAGGATGGAAATTTAAATAATAGTTGGCTACATTAAATTTTGGGACCCTAAACTACCATAAGGATACCAAATAATAATTTTAGTTGGATAAGATGTATAATTAATAATTAAAATAATATATAATAAAAATAAAAAGGAAAAAAAAATAGGGAAATAAAGGATGTGGACCTGTCAGTAGTTTAAATTTATTTACAAGGACACGTTTACCATTATGGTAGATATCGTTCAAGAGTTCTTAAATCACTCCGGAACTAAGTTAACAACACAATAGTTAATTTAGTCCAAGGGGGTTTAAACATTATTATGACCAACTGGTCCCACCCTGAATTTTTCCCAAAGTAATATCAAACTTTCACTTCACATATTTCACGTGTTACTATATATCTTGAGATTTTACTTTCACCCGAGGGAGAGTGGTAAGAAGCCCATATCTAAACCCAAGAGAGTTGAACATTATTCGAATATACAATTCTGAACTACCAGTTGGATAGACAGTGTCACAGACCCAATACTAACATTTCAATCTGAAATCTCTGCTCCACAAAGTAGATCAAGCTGAGTTCTTACTGAACAACAAGATCAATACTACTGATGTACTTGGTCGCTAACATGATCAACGTCATAAACAAATAATTTGATCTTAGCCAGTAAGTGCAAGTACTCATTATTGAAACTTATGAGTTTTATACTGCATATTAAGGGGGAAATTTGTGGGCAGATGAGAGACAATAAATTTCCAGGTACAGATTTTACAACTGATAAAGTAGGAAATCATTTGTTCAAATATTTCTTTCCCTTAGTAGGATTTGTCCAACTATACTAAGACCCCAAGATGCCACTGCTCCTCACACATCATGAATCCCCCAAAGAAAACAACTGCAAATCAATGCACACAAAAGAACTCACACTGCAAAATTACACAGCTTAACAATCCTTCATTGCTTCTTCCCACACAAACATAAAGGCATCACAAACCAAGACCAAGGACAGACCCTTCCCATCATAATATTTAACACCAAAATCCTACCAATAAAGACAGAAACAGAATCATCATTGCAACGGTTCAAAAAACTTGACCAGGTCCTTGGCCAACCACAACAATATCAGAATAGCCATTTTTTTGGGCTACTCATCAAATCAACAAAAAATCACAAATAACAATAATCTAGAAATACTTCATATGCAAAAAAAAAAAAAAAAAAAAAAAAAAAAAATTTACCTGTCGCCTACCCAGGTGACCAGCAGAAACAAGGTTAAACCCACCAACCTCTTCATCCACGGTTCCACCACCACTAACACTGTTACTTTCAGCAAACCCACGATTCTTCAACCTTTCACTAAGTGACCCCAAACCCAAATCCTCTTGCACAACAACCCCGATACCACTTCTCTTTCTACCTTTATCCCCACCTTCCATCCGAAGCGTCTCCTCCTCAAGCTTAAACGGCACCGACACCGGCAACGACCGGAAAAACTGTTGAACCAAACCGTTCAAGCTGGCACCGAAATCCGCCCCGGCCTGCCCGATCCTGTTCCCGATGTCGAAAATCGCCGAAACCCCATTGATTCCGTAGTCCTCAGTGGCCAACCCAAAATCCCTCTTCCCGAAACTCTGAGAAGGGAACTCGAGATCGAAAAGCTTCGAATTTTGAGGGTTTGGCCACGCAAATTGGGGAGGGCTCATGTGGGTCTGAATCAAACCGGTGAAACCCTGGGCAAGCCGGTCAGCTAAGTCCTGACCGTGTCGTTGCACCTCTTCCCACGCCTCTAACGACCTTTCCACAGACATCTTAAACCCTTCCTCACAAACTCCCCATGTGGGGTTTCAGTTATAACTGCAAATCAGTTAGGGAAAAAACGAATCGAAACAACAAAGGTTCAACTGATTCTTCTTTAGCAGAAAATGGAAGCTTCCGGAAGAAAACTGTTTTGAGTAGTTGCAGAAGCAGTTGAATCCAGAAGAAGTTGTTGAAGAGAAGAAGCGAAGGTGTTTAGAGGGGCTTGGTGGAAGAAAAAGAGAGAGAGAGAATGTGGAACAGTTCATAAATTGAAGGAGTGTGTGAATGAGTGCGCACTATGCGCATTGCGCACCGCCGTTTGGTTTTTTGACACGTGGCGTTTGATTTTGTTTTGTGGATGAGGATGGTGAAGATTTTCCTTTGAGGGAATGCATCTGTCACCTGACGAGTATGGGAAACGAATATGACTGCCAATGAGAATAATGCTTGAACTTTTCGACGCGTTATGTTATACATGCCTTGCATTCAATCTGCTGGGTTTTGAAAATTGCAAAATATTCCTAACCGGCGTTGAATTACAATTTTTTTCCCTAGGAATTACAATTTTTGGGACTACGCAGACAAACTGAAATTCTAAGAAGTACGGTAGGTCAAAATATTTTTAGAAATATTGGTTCAATTTTTTTGATGTTATGTTTGATTATTTGTTAATAATTTTTGAAAATATGGACTGATTTTATAAAATTAACCTTTAATAAAATAGCGTAAAGCAGAGATCGTGACGGTCGATTTAACGTTGGAACTAGATGATCGTAGTATTGGGGTCACTGGAGGAAGTAACGTGAAGCAAAGAGGAATCCAGTAAAGGCGTAGTGAAAGGGAAGAAGGAAACCAACCATTTTGTATCACAGCTAAGACTTTAACAAGATACGATAATTTAGTAATGAAAACATTAAAGCGGGATTATTAATGTCCTATAAATTACGCATACAAAGAGCCTATTTGGATCCTCTTATTTTTAAGCTAGAAGCTACTTATAAGTTAAAGCTAAAAACAGAGCTTAAAAAAAGAAGCTAAAAACTGTTTGAAAATTACATAAAAATTTTAGCTTAAAAATTATTTAAAAGCACACATTTCAAGAAAATTATCTCTTTCTCTATCTTTATCACTCTTCATTTTTAAAAAAAAACACAATTCAAGGAAAACAGATAAGAGCTTAAAAAAAAGCTCCTCCTATGAGCTTTTAATTTTCAGCTTTTTTCTTCATTATGAAAAAAAGAGCTTTTCGTTATAAGAGCTTTTCTCAAAACCTGTTTGGCCTAGCTTATGCTTATAAGTAACTTCTAGCTTAAAAAAGAGAGAGAATCCAAACAGGCACAAAAATTCACCAGATGAGAATCCAATAATATCACCCCCCACAGATAGTATTATTTTATGGGATTTTTATTCATAATTTTTATCCTCATGAATCTCATTTTTTTAGGAAAATTTTAAAAATCCTTCTACTAAATATGGGTAACTAGGATTCTCGATATGAGTTTACTGAGAATATAAAATTTGGGAAATGTATATGTCAAGTAACATGATGGCTAACAAATTTCCCACTGATTCATCGAGAAGCGTGCAGACATTTCTTTTGTTTTTTGTTTTTCTTTTATGGTAGGACCCACTAAAATCTGTTTGTGTAGAAAAAAAATTTAATATCCTATTACTTCACATTAATATTCCCCATAAAATTTACTCGTATACCAAATGACTCCTCAACGAGTAATGATAGTTGCCATTATTTTATCCTTCCAAGCTCATGTAATTCATTGGACAATACTCTGATTTCAGTGTAATATTGGCATTTTGATTTTTCAATGTTGCTTTTAAAAAAAAATCAAAATTGAATAGAATTATTAAAAAAATACAATAAAAGTGTATTAAAATAATACTATAAATATAACACCTTGTCAGCTGCCGGTATATTATCATTGTATATGCTATTAAGTGCAACTACAATCACAATAGTTCAATTAAAAATACGGTTAAACTTTTTTTTTTTCAACATTAGACATTTCCAATTAAAATCATTACCGTATTTGAAATAATCACAATGATTTAATAATTAAATGTAATGTTTACATATTATATCATACTTATTCATTGTTGTTAAGTAGTTCTCATGAACAAATGAAACCAATTTCATAATTTACTATTTTCAACACTGAACCAGTCTTGATTTTTCCCAAACTGGAACTGATTCTCTTGATCATAAATTTCCATCTTTTAGTATGTTATTCTATACTTTACTATCTTTCCAACAAGGTATTACAAGCCTTATTTGGAGTTATATAACTCAAGATATTTTTACTGTAAGTTAATTATCTAAAACTGTCTATAGTGAACACAGGGCAGTACGTAAATCTAAAAATATAGGCATATTCCGCAGCTTAGAATTCTCTCAACTCTCTTTTGTTTTAAATTAGACATCTTGGGCTTTAATTTGACATATCTTAAGCCTCGTTTCTTTGAGGAACGAAAGAGATGTGAATTTTATAAACTACAACCAGTATGTTGTCAACACAGGGCAGATTTGGCAACGTTCACTCTAGCCAAAACTGGGCGCGTTCTGACATCCATAAAAATCTCATCTTTTGGGACAAGAAATTAGACACCTTAATCTTTAATTTGATACATCACACATTTCATTTAGTTAAGAAACGAGTGAGATATGCCCTTTCAAAATCTATACTCATATGTATACAAAAGTTTGACTGCACTTTCTTGCTTATATATTTTAATATTTTCTTACCTAATTGACAATTTGATAACTTGAACATACATTTATGTTGCCAATTTAAGGTCTAATCCATTAATTCATCCATGAACCAACTTCAGCTACACTAGTCATGCATTTAACATCTTTTTGTAAAATGTCTTTAGCAGATTTGCAATCAACATGAATTAAAAAATTTTGATTTAATAAATCAGATTGAAATTTTGAAATGCACAGAACAATTGCTAAAATTTCTTTATTATCAGTAGAATAATCTTGCTCCGTTGAATTCCAATGCTTTAGATTGGAATTTCTTTAAAATTCCAAAGAGGAGAAAGACATTTTACAAAAATATGTTTGTTGACATAGAATGTAGAACATGAGCAAGGACTATTACTTTTCTATATGAGACATTTTCTTAGAAGATGAGAAATTTTTTTCTCACAATATGCTAAAGGTTCATCAATCATTGGAATTTCTTTGAGACATTGGTTATGGTGGCATTCTCAAACAGAAAATCGCAAACAAAGAGCATATTATTGCATAAACTTTAAAGCATTGGAGTTCTTCTCAGCAAAATTATTACACTGTTAAAAAAGAAGTTTTGGCAATTATTCTTTGCATTTCAAAATTATTTAATAAATTAAAAAATTTTAATTCGTGTTGATTGCAAATTTGCAAAGGATATTTTACAAAAATGTGTTAAAAAATTTAGCTTCTAAACAAATTTTTGCTAGATAGCAAACAATTTTAAGTGTTTTTTATTTTGATATTGAATATCTCAAAGGCACCTCAAACTCTCTCCCTGATTATCTCACTCATGAATTTCTGTAGGGCCAAAATCGACAAAGTCAACATCTTCTAAAGGAAAAGGTAAACAAATCCTAGCAGGATTAGCCAAACATTTTGGGTCATCTACCCAACTTCAATCTGGGTCATCTACCTAACCCCAAACTGGGTCATCTATCCAAAAAGTTGAGGACATTCCCTCTTCTAAACAAACCAAGGCTGATTACATCATGCCAATCCAAACACTCCAAGCCTTTAAAAATGATGATTTGACTCATTTACCTCAAAAATCATGAGCCGATATTACCTCTGAAGAAGAACAGGAACAAACTTCTCTCTCTATTTTGATTGCAAACCTTAAAAATAAAAAAATTTCTAATCTTCCTACCAAGACCTTGGAAATACAACCTAAACCAATCTCTATCCAGAAACCAAAACCTCAAACGCTATATATTTCGAAAAATAAATTCCAAAAGGTAATCCAAATGGAACTAGCGTACTGGGATAACAAACCAACAAAAGTAACTGCGAAGATTTTCTCGAAAGACTTCAAAGGACGCCAATTTCATTTTAAACCCCTTGCTTCAAACAAATCATAAATTTTTTATGAGTTTATTCTACTAGATTCAAACTCTATATCTATCAAAAACTATAAAAATCTCAAAGACCCTAAGTTTAGCACTCACTCAACCATCCAGATTCTTAAGGTAATTACCCCATCATAATATGGAAACTCAATCATAGTTACCAAATTTTCTCAACCCTATGACCGATTGGATATAACTATAAGGACTATGAATTGAACTGGGATAATGTTCTCTTCATGCAAAATAAAGAAAATAAATACTCTTGGCTAATTTATTTCTAACAAAATGTTCAGTATAAATTCCCGCAATGATTTATAAAATAGTGGGATTATTTTGGACCAATCTTGGAGATCTTTCCTCCGATGGTATTTGAAGCATTAACAATCTTTTCACAAAATTTTGATAAGGTAGCAGATCTATTCCCAATATAACTGCATTTTTTCACAAAATTTTCATTAGCATGGATATTTTCATGGTAGTACAATTATGGTGAAAAAATTGGCACCAAACTTCTATTACTTAGAAGACAAACCTTTGTCAAGTAGTGGAATGAATTTGACGCTTCCCGAGCTTTGCCCAAAAAATGTAAAGTTTTGGTTAATTTTTTTTTAAGCTAATCAAACCAATGATACAGAAATATGCACCTTTTTGAATCAAAAGGCTCAAATTACAGAAGCATTGGCGGCATCAAAAAACAAAAAGAAAGCTTTGCGAAAATTTTGTAAAGTATTCTCAAACTACTTCAAGAAGAAGAAGCCAAGAATTTTAACTAGAAAATTGTTTCTCCTTCTCCATCTATTACTTTATCTGCCGAAGACTTCTATCAAAACGAAGATGATTGTTTCAGAGTCGATCTAGCAGAAGTTTGTTGAAGACGATCACTGTAGCATTGTTGATGACAAAATGACATGAGTATGATGTCAGTAGGAATGATATAAGCAATGACATAATCAAAGAGTGTCAGTAGTTGATGTAGTAAAAGACTATAGCAGATCACTGTAGCAGCACATATGGCAGTCACTGCACACTTTGACCTCTACTGTTGAAATAGTTCCGGTCTTGTAACATGTACTGTAGAAACAGTAAAATTTTAGTCTATTTTAGAGAACTTCTTCATAATGCTGAAGGCATCAATTTATTTTTCCCATTTTAGAGAGATAGTTTTAGAGAGAGTGTGCGAGATATTTTGCTCTTCTTCTCTTATGTCTTTCTTTCAATATTTCTTCTTCAATCTGTAACATAATCTTTGTAATTATTATGGTTTAAATAAAACTTGTTTTCATATATGCATATGTAAAAACAACCTTTCTTTTCTCATTCTTTCACGCATGTGGACTACTGTCGCACTCATCTTAAGCTTATTTTATTCTTTTATTTTCTGCAATTTATTACTTGTTCATTCATTAATTTTTGTGTAGGCAGTCATTTTGCTTTCCTGCTTCTCTTACATGCTCTCGTTTCCTGTTTCTTTTCTTTACCGCCTCTTTCCACACCCTATATATATATATATATATATATATATATATATATATATATATATATATATATATATATATATATATATATATATATAGGGAGAGATCTTCTGACTCCGGTATAAGATTAAAAAAATCTTGCTCCCCCTATCTTAGTCGTTGATTTTCATCCATCTATCAGTAGTTATTTATTTGAAACTAATAATTCAATAAACTAACAATTAGATGAACGAAAATCAACAGCTGAGAAGGAGAGTAAAACTTCTTAGCCATACACTGGAATGAACCCCCCCCCCCCCCCCACACTTCGGTATAAGACTAAAAAAATCTTGCTCCCTATCTTAGTCGTTGATTTTCTTCCATCTATCAGTTGTTATTTATTTGAAATTAATAATTCAATAAACTAACAATTAGATGAACGAAAATCAACAACTGAGATGGAGAGTAAAACTTCTTAGCCATACACTGGAATGATCCCCCCCCACACACACACACTCCGGTATAAGACTAAAAAAATCTTGCTCCCTATCTTAGTTGTTAATTTTCATCCATCTATCAGTTGTTATTTATTTGAAATTAATAATTCAATAAACTAACAATTAGATGAACGAAAATCAACAGCTAAGATAAAGAGTAAAACTTCTTAGCCATACACTGGAATGAAAAGATTCCCCCCGCCACACACACATACACATATGAGTTAGTTCTACTTGCCGATTATCATTAACTAAGCTTATCATCTTTTATTGAGTTAGTTGTACTTGCCGATTATCATTAACTAAGCTTATCATCTTTTATTACCTTTTTTGTAATTGTTAGATGGTGTAAAGGAAGTTCTTGAAGAGAGAAAGGAAATTTGTATCAAATGATATGATTTTATCAGACAGTTTTAAGAGAGGTAATAATAGGTGATAAAACTTAGTTGGTGGTAAAATTATCATGTTGTAGAAAATAAAACTATAACCTACACATACATTCAAGCATATAGAGTTCATTTGAGAAGAAAAGAGAGAAAGAAAAAAACTAAACCCCACACAATCTAATATGTGCGTAGCAAATATTCTTTTATATTCAAAACCTACCAAAATTTTATGAACATAAGTTATTTTTTGAAATATCTATTTTCAAAATATTTAATCATACTTTTACATAATTGATATTTTACAAATTATTATTATTATTATTTTTATATGAAATTTACCCTGGACGGTTTCACACACTAGTTCTGATAAATGAGAATGATGGTTAGCATTCGTTGTGATCTAGTCACGGGAATTAAGTACGGAGACAATCTTTTTCTCCCATTTAACAAAAAATATGAATGCAACCTTTTCGTTTAAATCCTAAAATATATTAGTCACGTGCCAGCGTGTTGTAACCAAAAGAGCTGAAGGATATTTTTGTGAGGGATAAGATTTTATTATGACATACAAGCTTATATTTTTGGGAGAAATTTAAAACTTTAATTCCGGGATCCATCCCAAGAACTAATCGTGAAACGATGAACCGATTGAAATATTTCAAAAAATAATAATTTATTTACACCTTTTGTCTACACTAATTTATTTGAAGAAAAATAAAGTATACTACAAAATATGTATGTTTAAATTTATTATCTAGAAAAAGGTACAACAAAAATAGTATAAAAAATAATGTAAAAGTAGCATTTCCCATTATCTTCAAGTTACCAAGAAATTTATTTTTGGGAAAACATTTTTTCATGTTGCATGAGAATTCAATTCTCATGTTGTGACACTTCGATTTGCATGCAAAACTTTTTTTTTCTTTCTCTTTTTAATAAATGTGGGACCCACCACTAGTTTCTCATGCAACATGAGAAAATCAAACCCCTTTATTTTTATATATACAATATTGACATTAAAGTTTGAACCTACAACTATTACATAGATATAATATAAAACCATTGAAGGTCCATCACTTACAAATCTAAGTTTTTGGGTTGAATTGGTTCTTTACATGATATCAAAGCCAAGATTTTTTTTGGACCTTTGTAATATCCATGTTTCAAGCCCAAGGCTCTTGGGTATGCTAAAAAGATATAATATAATATAAAAAACCATTGATAGACCTTCAATTGTATTATATTATATCTCTCTATCTCCATCAGAAAGTAAGGGGAAGTGAGGATCGAATTCGTGACCATGTGATCACTGAAGCTATAATTCTATTTAAAGAACCGTTTCAAACCAAATGCTTAAGCCTTCAGGTGATGGGACTTCAATGATTTCATATTCTATCTCTCTAACATATCCCTTCATGTAAGAGCCTTTCGAACTTAAAACGTGGATATTACACTAGTATTTTTTTTTCATTTATTCTACCTTGTCCTTACTTAAATCTATTAGAAAGCAGGGGGGGGCGACGATGATCGAATTCATGGTCACCAACCATGTAAAGCAATCATTTCACCCAACACTTAAGCTTTTAAGTGATGTGCCTTCAACTTTATGCAAATTACTCAAACCCCTCACCAATAGACCAATTCTAATGGCATCAATAAGAAAATTTCTACATATTCAGGAAGTGGCCATATACCTGGTGCATATTACTATTCTAACAAAATCAAAGCCTACAAGCAGCCATGGAAACATCTACAAATACCACCCATATCCAAAAGAATGTGATAACGTATTTGTTAGCAGAAACCCAAAATAATTCAAGGCAATAAAAAAGAACCATCCAATCAAATTTCACAAGGGCTTTTGGCCATCGAGTTAGGTCGCATTCTCTTGAGCCATTCGGTTCTTTCAGTGGCAAACCAGGCCAATCCATACAATGTATATTGATGTTTACAACAAGGTTTAACAAGTCATGCAATGATGAAATGAATGAGTTGCAAAGCCACCCCACACCTAACTAAACATGTATATTACTGGAAAACTAATAAAATGTAAAGGAAAAATTACCAACAAAAAAAAAGGATAAAAGAAAGCAACTGCTTGCCCTCACCTCAGTTACCTTCCAACATTTCTCCGGAACAAACCAACAGAAGTCAATGTTCACATAATCACATTCAATCACTGACGTTCCTATTTATAAATACTTCACCTGCCCCCCAAAAAAAAAATCATGTTAAAAAGGAAAAAAACAGACATTAAAGAAAACAAAAATCAATTGATCATATAATAATGCTCAAGAGGGCAAGGTTGGAGCTCGTGGCAAAGCTGCTCCTTGGTGACAGATAGACAACGAGTTCGAATCAAGGAAACAGTTTATCATAAAAATATAAGTGTAAGATTGTGGATATAGATTTGTTTTCACCCGACACTCGAATTAGAGTGGGTCATATAATAATGCTTAACTTAAGTACCTGGTCTTTGAGTTACCAAGTGTGAGTTCAAGATCATCTGATCCAAATTCTTCATGGATCCTTTCTCCTTCCCATGGCTTGACAAGGCCTAATGTGTTGCTTCCAAAAGCAAATTCATCAGAAAAAGCTTCAGACATTGGAATATCAGCAGTGTGATCAGAGCCAGCTGCTATAGCTGGAGAGCACGTTCCACTCTGGCCAGGAGTCCACATGTGAGAACCATTGCCAACCAAACAATCTTCCTTGAATGCAAATGGGTTTGAAGAGACAAGGCTGAATGTTGGTGAAGTTGGACTAACATGGGGGAGTTTAATCCCAGCAAACCATTCAGGATCAACAATCTGACGGCCAGGGCTTGGAGGACTAGAAGATGGAAGGAAAGAGTAGTTCTGTCCGGTCCACCCCGGCCGCGCAGATTGATCATCCCAATCAGCATTTATTCGCGGTGTTCTAGCAGTTGGAGAGCTCAGGGGAGGCGTGACAGGAGCACTGATGGAACCACTGTGAAGGTAGAGATGAGGAAGCTTGGGAGATGATGCTGAAGATGAAGCAGTGGAGAGGTTTTTGAGCCATGGAATGAGGGAATTACCATCATGAGCATTAGGATTTGCAGTGTATGGGGATGATGATGGGCTTGGGAAGGAAGATGAGCCAGGGCTTGGATTGTAGGAAGCACATGGACTTGGATGGTAAGAGGAGCAAGGGCTTGCTGCTGATGATCCACCAACTATATCCATGCGCTCTAAAGGCTTGCATCCCTGTTTGTGCATCATATTTTCATTAACTAATCAAGATGTAGTATGTGGGAACCTACCAAGTAGTCCTTATGTATAGGTAGGATTTGTATGACCATAACAATTTTAAATAAAACAATCAGATAGATCTAACTAGTTTGAGATAAAGGCGTTATTGATGTTGAATCAGATACATGATCAAGCAACCACTACATGTTTGTAAAGAAGTAGAAGTATATGTGAATTATTCAACTCTGCATGTTCTAAGGTCTAAAGGGTTACTATTAAGTCTAATTTATGTAGCATAACTTTTCAAAGCCTTAGCCCTAGCAGGCAGTACCTATAATGGCAACAGAATTGAATGATGAGCAGAATATATGAGAGCACCTTAAACCAAATTCAATATGAAACACAATGCTTTCATTAAAATAACAGAAATACAAGGAGAAAAAGCTAGAGTTTCCAGCTAATGCACCAAATATGATTGATGACACGATGAATTATGTAGTTATTGACTGAATGTGGTTCTACAATAAAATTCGGTTGCAATGCATGCAAGCATTGGACTATGTGGTTAGTTTACTGCACAAAAATTTAGACTTTCTTGCATTAACCAAGGCTGAAATTAAGAACCAATTGTTCTGGCTTTCGTTTTGCTCAAGGTACTGCAACTGTTAATGTTATGTTAGACTTGGGCTGTGCTTGTTTGAATAGGTGGAAAATGAGATGATGATAAAAAAGGGTGAAAAAGTGGAGTAGGATAGAATGATTATGATTTTCATTCATTGGTAATTAGTAGAGGTAAAATCACTTTCAACTCATGTTCATGTCATTGTAGTGGCCAAAATTTAAGATGTGGAAGGTAAATAAGTAATTTTAAACTTACAACTTCAGATTTTTGTTATACCAAGTAATTTACATTTTGAAGTTTTATCTATTCAACTAAACATACCCTTAAATTTGTCATATCAATAATTACATTTTACAAGAAAAATGCTTTACTATTAATTAAGGGGAAAAATTTGTATAATTTTAAAGGATATAAAGTTGTATAATTAAAAAAACTCCATTCTCTCTCCCGATGATCTATATCTTTTTCTCTCTTAGAAGGACTATCTTTTTTTAGGAAATTTTTGAGTTTCCTCAAGGTATCCCTCGGCCGACAGCCAGAAACTAATACTTTCAAAACGTAGAGATCATCGAAGCGAGTTTTACCTCTACCAACAAAGTATTTTTCATACATATGGTCAGGGATCGAACCCCTATCAGCATGCTAAGAGACTCAGCCATTTACTAATTATGCCGAGCTTTGTTCGTTAAAATGACCATCTTTAAAAGAATACACATTTTTTCCATAATTAAATGGGTTCACATTTTCAGTGGTAATTTGTTAATTATAACTTCCAGTAAGTAATACCATAATTTTGTTACCCAAAAAGTTTTTAAAAAAAACATATAGATAGGTCCATTTCAGTATTTCACCACTAAAACTTACATTTAAAAATATTTTTAATAAGTTAATTACAGTTAAAAACTAATAATATTTTATACTAATTATAAGCATACATCTCAAAACACGTCCCTCTCATTTAGGAGAAGGAAATGAAATATGAACAGTAACTTCAATCATCGGAACAGCGGAGGCAAAAGGCTCTCCCAAGTGGCAACATGGTCTGAAAAAGTCAAAAAGCCACAGCTACTTTGCTACATATCAACAAACACATAAAAAAAACAACAAACACACCAACCATCTAACACATGTTTGATTTTGTTCTCTGTTTTGTTTTCTTAAAATTATATAATAGTTAATGAAATATTTTTTATTTTATTTTTGAAAATTAAAACATAAAACAAAAACAAGTCAGACATATTTTCTAAATTTAATTTTAAAAATAAAAAATAGTTATAATTTTAGAACTATTCTTACAAAACTGATCTTATCATCCCCCCTTAAAATGGCAGAAGCAGTGCCTGCCGGATCCACCGTACTCACACAGGGACATGTAATCAGCAAAGAAAATAAATATAATTTTTTTTAACACATAAGAATAATAAATCTTATTCTATTTACCCAAAAAAAAAATTCTTATTCTTAATTGTAATACTCAATCTCATTTATTTATGAAAAAAACTATTATAGATAAATTTTCTTTCTTATACACCCATCAATTTCCATATAGTTCTATTTTTATTTTTTATAAATGAATAACTCTATCCATAATTATGTCTATAATAATAAGAGGCCGTTTGACAGAAGATTTTTTTTTTTTTTATCTGAGAATCTTAATTTTCAAAAATATATTTACAATAATATTCAAAAATTAAAAATTTCGAAAAATTTAATTTTCCGAGAATCTATAAAATACCGTCAGAAACGCCCCCTGAGAGAAAACTACTCTGGCTACATTGATTAATAAATCCCTTTGTTCATTGCATAAACTGTTAATAAGAAAGCGATATCAACACCAAAATAAATCCATCGACACATATTGAAAGTGTATTAGTGATGAAAATAAAAACTTTTGATAAATCTTAAAGATCATAAAATTAATCTTAATGCTTAAAGAAAAATACTTTAGTAAAGCAAATTTTTAAACAGAAAATCACTTAATTCTTAACTAAAGTACTTCAAAATAAAGAAGCTATAATTGGGAGTGGAAAAATTGGAATGTACCTTCCGGTATGTGGTTCCATCGAGTTCAACGGTCCAACCAGCTTCATTGCAGAGAGCTTTGAGGACTTCATTGTTGTCACAGTGCTTTGGAAGCTTGAAGTTACCATACATCCTAAGACCTGCGAAGATCTTCGCCGCTATGGCTCTTCTTCTTCTCTCTCTCCTCTTGTTGTTCTCTCTCTCCTTCCACGTGGGTAGCCTCGTCCCAGATGTCATCTCTCACAGAGAGGATTTTCAAGCTCTGAAACCAAAAGGGTTCCCACGAAACAACGTAAAGAAGAGAACTTTGGAGAAGATTCGAGTAAACAACGATGATTGAACTTCTGGGTCGGTGAGAAATTGAAGCAAAAATAAAAAAAAGCTGTGAAACCAGAACCAGAACCTGATGTCTACTATGAAAAAGTGTTGCAGTGGTAGAAATGGTAAAGTTAGCCCATTTGGTGGATTTGGAAAATGGGTTTGGAGTCGGAGTTTGATCAGTGATCGGAGAAGATCTCGGAAGCTGGTCGGAAAATTGGAATGGTTTCGATGGGAAAATGAGAAAGGAAAAAGAACAAAAAGAAAGGAAAAGAAAAGAAAAGAAAAGAAAAAGTTAGCACTTGATTAGCCAAATTTGCGGATCAAATTTACGATCATGGTGTATAGATTTTATAGAGAGAGAATGGGTGTTGGAGTTTTAGTACCCAACATGCCACCACCACCCTCAACCTTTTTCCCTTTCTTCCTCTCACTTTCTTTCTTGGCTCTGGCAGTGACCAGTGTTGTGATTTGTTAGGGAGTGAGTATGAATTTGTGAGCTAATGGATTTGTGAGGGAGTGAGTGGGAATTTGTGAGCTTTTGGAGTATGACTTTGAGTTTGATTTTCATTTTCCTTTTATGTTTTTGTATTCCTTTCTGAATTTAGCTAAGTTGGTTAATATCCGTTAAATATGAGGGTATATAAATTTTCCATTTCTCTTTTCAATTTTGCATGGAGTTTGATTTTTATACAATTTCGGGTATATTGTGCTATTATTTAGTAAATTTAATTTTTATATAGTTATTAATATAACTACATTTATTAATTAATATATTTATATAACATTAGATGGTAAAAGTAAAAAAGTTATCATTTATAAAAAATAGTTTCTTTTTTAGCTAAGAATATCTTTTAAAAAAGATATCGTATGGGCTTTGATGAAAGGGAACTAGTAATAGTGAAAGTAGAGCTAACTTTTGTTTTTGTTATTGTCTACAAAAGTTAACCCCAAAAACATAAAAAGTGAGGAGCATGGTTTTTAAACTTTTTTTTTTTTTACATGGTCATGTGTGGGTTTTCTTAATGAAAGTTCTGTATGTGGGTTCAATTATGCAACCTTTTTTTCCCACCTTAGACTAACGGATTTATTATGGACAAGAGCCTTTGTTGTTTGAAATGGAATTCCACTTATGTCATTTTGCCTTTAATTTGGTGTACTCTCTTCTTTTTATACCATATCTTATATCTCTTTTGTAATTAATCAAAACATTTACTGTTATCATCAAGGTTAAAACACGACCTCTGAAACGAAAATGGGTATTGCGACACATTAAAATTTAGAGGTAATGCATATAAAAATATTATGTTTAGTAACAATGTTATATATTTAAATATGTGTAAGTGTATGTTTACATTAATTTATATTCTCTAAAGGGCACTTTTGAGAAAATGTTCAAGAGATGAACTTTTGACTAAAAATGTCTAAAATACAAAACTAAATAATTTAAATATGCAAGAAAAATATTATTGTTTTATATTTATAAATTTGAATATGTTAATTTAAATATATATTAAATATTTATTATATCATGAAATTTATGGATTTTTAATAATACATTATTAATAAACATTGTAATATAAACTTGTACTATAAAGTAAATGGAAATAAGAGAAAAAGAGTGTGGACAAGAAAGAAAGGAAATAAGTGGATAGGGAATATTTTATCTTTACACCCTTAAAATTTGAAAGTTTATGCATGTAATATATAAAGTTTATGGGTTTTATAATTCTCATTTAACATGAGAATTTGAATTTTCCTACACACCTTTCGATTTTCGTGCTAATATGGGTTCTACACATAATTTTTTCTAACATACGGGCCCCACATACTTTTTATCTCTACAACATGAGAATTCAATTGAAATATAAAAACCAAAGTTTATAAGATAGAAATTAGAAAGTGAAGAGATGAAAAAGAGGTACATGTATTCGAAAAACTTTTCCTTCAATTGTCAATTGTGAATGAGAAAGAGGCACTGCAGTGCTGCCACAAATGAAACCTTTCAGAACGTGGACAGAGTTCTTTTTATATGTCTTCCCTCCCACCAACCAAAGTACCTTTATTAATAATTAGTGTTTGGAGAGGGACAACCATGGCCCATAAGCATAGGTAAGACACAATTTTCATTGGCCAGATGCAAAAATACAGAAACGCCTTTGGAAGGAAGTTGTAAAATTAAAAGAACCCAAATAAAAAATTTGCAAGCTTAGGACTGCTAGTATAGTGGCAATGCTTGCTTTAGTGGTGTTCACATGTCAGTTTAGTTTAAATTTAGGATTAAAATATCAAAACTTGATTAAATTTAATTAGATTAGTTTAGTTTAATGTTTGAAATTTTTTATAGTCTATATAAACTAAATCAATTCCAGTATAATTAGGTTGGTTTATTTTTTAGAAATTCAAGCGTGATGAGATGTCATATTGATTGATAATAGGCTAAGTGAAATATTAATAAGTAAAAAAAATTCATAGACTTAACACTTAAAGTTTTAGGTTAAGATATGATATTGAATACATATTATATTTAGTTTACCTTAATCTACTGATAATAATCCTCTTTTATATGAACTTTCCTTACAGTGGTGTAACCACATCCACGTCAGCAGGTGCCTAGGCACCTGCTTGTTTTAATATATTTTTTCACTTATTGTATATATCATATAATTAATTATAATTTACTAAGGATAAAATTATAATTTGACACCACCTAAATAGAAAATCAAATATTCAATACAAAATAACAATAAACCATCTAAATGCAAACAAATAATAAGAAACGTGTACAGTATGGTTATTTTTGTGTTTCACCTTCTTTTTTTTTACTTTTTATCTTGTATATTTATTTTTTCCTCTTTATTCTAATCAGTTATATTATTTATTCTTATTCCTATTAATTTAAAAAAGAAAGACTTCTAAACTTAATTACAAAAATGATTAGTTGACCTATTTCAAAATTTGGGCTCAACTGAACCAAATAAACTCATTTAAAAGTAGAGAAATTGTTTGTTCTTTTAAAGGACACAACCTTGTATCCTTTTAGTTTTTAACACTATATCTTACCGGTAAGACATGGTTATAATATGAAAAATTAGTTTTTTTTTTTTCTCTTTCCTTAATCACTTCAACTGATATGGAGAAAAAAAAGTAACTTTTCATGTTATAACTATGTCTTACGGGTAAGACATAGTGTTGAAAACTAAAAGGACACAATTTGTGTCTAAAAGGACACACACTTAACCCTTTAAAGTAACAATCATGAAACTAAATGAATAACAGGTTTATAGTTATAGAATATGAAGGCCCATTGAACTATTATGTTTTAGGTTATTGCACACACACAAAATAGTCAAAAACCTAATTCCTAAATGTGAGAACTTTCCATCGTACTTATAGTTGTTGCAAACAAGGACGATGTTCTCCAACGTGAGATACTGAAAATTTATGGAATAGTGATAATGAAAGAGGAGACGAAGGACATATGCTTTTATACATATAATTACTATATTTGTGTGTTTTCATCTCCTTAGGACAATATTTGGTTCATTACTTACTATGTTGTGGGAGGAAAGCAAAATTCTTATGTTTGAAATGCTTACCGAAAAGGTTAGTGCATTTTTATATGTTTGCTTTGATATATAATCAATGACAAATGTTCATTTGAATTTTCAAGAGTAAATACCATTTTTGGTCCCTAACAAAAAACACAGTCTCCACTTTAGTCCCTTACAAAAATAAATTAGTCAGTTAGTCCTTAACAAATTCAAAGTGGACCCATTTTAGTCATTTTGAGGGACTAATATGGGTCTTTTTTGAATTTGTGAGGGACCACGATTTCAACTAAATGAGCCCACTTTGAATTTGTTAGGGACTAACTGACTAATTTATTTTTGTAAGGGACTAAAGTGAGGACCGTGTTTTTTGTTAGGGACAAAAAATGGTATTTACTCAATTTTCAATGTTATGTGACATTATTTAGTACATAATTTAGATAACTATGCTAGAATTCATAATAATTTTTTTTTGATAAATATGTGTAATTACGATAAATATTTTGATAATTTGATATATCAAATTGTTAGCACCACCTAAATTTTTAGGCTGATTCCGCCACTGTCTCCTTAAGTGTCTAATATAGTTCAAGTCATTAAGTTAAAGTAAAATTATAATTTTTTACTAGAAAAATAAAATATAACTATAAATTATCGAAAAATATTTAAAATTTTCAAAAAATATAATTAATTTAAGTAGAAAAAATAAGAATTAAAAAATTAAGAATGACAGACTTCACCCTTTAAGAGAGATACACTAAATGAATTAATCATTTTCAGGAAAATAAATTGTTATTTAATATATAAAAGTGAATATATATTTAAGGCCTTTTAATCGTGAAGGCTTTATAATGCTAAGGAAAGAATTTTTTAATGGTTTATACTATGGGAAAAGTGAATGTCATTTTAAAAGATGTAAAAGGATAAACACTTTTCTCTTGTACTATTGTCTAAACCATTAAAAAAAAATTAAGTGAAGGGTGGATAATACATAAACTTATTTATTTGTGCTAAGAAACTGCACAATACTTATTTATTTATTAACTAAATGAGGGTGATAAGGATCAAATTGATCACAGAGGTTCTAATATCAGTAGAAAATTAATTCAATCCAAAAATTTAAGCTATTAATTGAATGTCATTTTAATGATTTATATTATGATTTAATGTCTCTCGTGTGTGTAAGAGATAAAATTGCTACCGTTAACCATGCTACCAGGCCTAGCTACCACAGAAAGGAAGGGAAAGAGATCGAAAAGCACGCAACCAAACTGAACGCCAGCGCTTTTCCTTTCCCCTGAGGGCCAAGCTTAATTCCATTAAAAGTATACGAGGCTCATATTTTTTTTATATGACCTTACATGCGCCTCACATATTTTTATATATAAGAAATAATATTATTTTCTACTATAAAAAA